GGGAGGAGTGCACACAGCTCGGGGGTCACATCACCCCAGGTGGGACGTGGGAGGTGATTGATGGGACACCCCCCTGCTGGGGGAGTGGAAAGTGCCCGCGGCCAGGGAGAGGGTCTGAGGCCAGCCAAGACTACCAGAAGGGGCATGGGAGGAAGTGGGGGCGCGCGGGGCCCCCCTCAACCACACCCGTGTTTACCGAGAGCTCCGCAGCCTGTGGCCCCCTTCCCGTCCCTCAAGCATAACATCAGAAACCTCCCACCGCTGGGCCGCCAGCCGTGTTTTCCAGACCAAACACGGGGACCCATTCACAGGCTGGCACAGAGCATGGGCAAAGCCTGGAGGCTGGGGTCAGGACATAGCCGCCTTCAGCAGGGCTGCTGGGTCTGAGGTCAATGCGCCACCACGGCGGGGCCGGGACGGGCACCGTGTCTCCCGGAGAGGGCAGGAGCGTGGGCTCCCCGTGACCCGCAACCTGCCCCATCTCTCTGTGCCTCCGTTTCCCTCAGCTGTAAAAATAGAACACTTGCACCTACCCAGGGTATCGTATGTGAGTATCGACGAGTTCTTAGCAGAAAGTAAAGGACAGAGCAGCTGTGTTACCTCATGGGCATGACCGGGCCTCTGTGGGCAAAGGAAGAATGGGTCCGTTTGCTTGAAAACAGGGGAGGCAGAAAGAACAGCCACTAACTGAGGCACCCACCATGGGCCACAGGCTTTAGTATGAAGTTGACCTGCTTTCTTTTTTTTTTTTTAAGATTTTATTTATTTGATAGAGAGAGACACAGAGAGAGAGGGAACACAAGCAGGGGGAGTGGGAGAGGGAGAAGCAGGCTTCCCGCCGAGCAGGGAGCCCGATGCGGGGCTCGATCCCAGAACCCCGGGATCATGACCTGAGCCGAAGGCAGACGCTTAACGACTGAGCCACCCAGGCGCCCCTTGACCTGCTTTCTTATATAATGTTCCGATTTCCCTGTCTGTTCTCTTCCCTTGATCCTAAGAGCTTGGCGGGCAGAGGGGTTCATCTATTGCTGTATAATAAATCACTCCAAAAGTCCACAGCTCGGAACAGCAAACAGTTACTCCCTCCCCATTTCGAAGCGTCAGGAATCCGGGGGAGGCTGAGCTGGGGAGGTGGGGGGGCAGTTTCTGGCTCAGGGTGCCTCCTGAGCTTACAGGGAAGTCACAGGCAGGGGGCTGTTGTCTTAGTAAAAAGTGGCTGCACAGACTGAACGAGAAGCGGATGGGTGCGTGAGGAGGGTGTCCCTGCCCCACTGGACACAGGGGAAGAATCTAGGGCTTGGGAACTCGGGGTACATCAGGGTGTCGGTCGTAAGTCGGGGCCCGGGCTGCTCTGACCCCAAAGTCCCTGTTCACCAGGAATTCTCAGATGCCACCTAGAACGGGAAATGGGAGCGGATGATGGCAAGCTGCTCCCCCCTTCAACGGACAGACGACCGAGCAGTGCGCAAAGCAGAGGCGGGAAGTCTCCCTGCTGGGCCAAATCCTCCGGCGGGCGCCTGGGAATCCGCGGGGGCACAGCCGGGGTGGCGCCGAGGGGACTTGGCAAAGGCGCCGCAGGTCTGCAGCCACACAAAACCGGGTCAGCGTAAACACGGCCGGAAAGAGGCCTGGGTGTCCGACGGCAGCGGGCAGCTCTCGGTACTTTTCCAGCCGAGAGCAGAGTCCACTCCCCGGCCTGGAGGAGAGAAGGCGCGCATGACCAGCCCTGGGGCTTGGGCAGCTATAGTTGTCAGGGCCTCGTTTCTTCCTCCTAAGAATTCTTTAAAGAGCGATGATTGACAAAAGAGGTTCAGAGAGGTGAAGGGACCAGCCTAAAGTCACCCAGCAGGGAAGTGGCGGCAGAGCCGTGACGTGGGAGGAGCCTGGCTGAGCGGGGGCCCCTCCCATGACCGCCGCCTCCCCAGCCTCCGGGAAGAAGCTCTCTGGAAGGAGCTGGTGTTTGTCCCTCCCAGCCTCACCTGCTCTGTGGAGGTGGGACACCCTCTTCCTGGGATTCCTGCCATCCACCCCGCCCCCATCCGGCCCCAGAAGTACACCCTTTTCCATATGCAGTAGCAGCCCAAGTGGGGACACGACTCTTTTCCTAAGACTTTCTATAGCCTACCTGTGCCAAGTTGGCCCTCGGGAATCAGAGGTAACAACGGGAAGGCAATAACTACGGAAAACGGTAAACAGATCGCAACGGTCAAGTTTGCAGGACCCAAGTCAATCCAGTCCCGATGGATGCCGTATGTGGCTGGGGACGGTAAGAGTGACCGTCCCACAGACGGAGCACCTGCCAGCCCCATGTCTGGGGCTGAGCACGTGAGGTCTAACTTTTCTATCTTCCCTTCCAGGCAGGTGCAACCGCCACACCCCTACAGACCCCAGAGGCCAGGGCCACTTCTGGCCTCTGCCTGTCCCTCTCTGCACTGCCAGGCTCCCTGAGCCTTAGCAGGAGGTTCCCGGATACCTGGGCCCTGACCCCGCCAAAGCCAGGTTGAACCTCCCAGCTCCCTTTGGGCTGCTCGCCTGAATCCATCTCAAGTCTGAGAAACATGCCCATCTGCAGTCCTAGGTAGGACATGGTGACAGACAGGGACAGAGCTCCTAGTCAGCTGGAACCCCACTCCATATAAAGGAGGCAGCCTTCCCTACTCAGATCCACAGACGAGTGACACCTTATAAAAATAGTGACCCCAACACCTGTACAAGAATTATACTCCCAAGGGGCGCCTGGGTGGCTCAGTCAGTTAAGTGGCTGGCTCTTGGTTTTGGCTCAGGTCACAGTCTCGAGGTCGTGGGATCAAGCCCCGCACTGGGCTCCGTGCTCAGCGTGGAGTCTGCTTCCGATTCTTTCTCTCCCTCTCCCTCTGCCCCTCTTGCTCTCTTTCTCTCTCTCTAAAATAAATAAAATCTTTTAAAAAAAAATTATACTCCCATGATTGGCATTTTTCTGTCACAGGTTCAGGGATAGAAATGCTTTTCTTTTTTTTCTGTTTTTTTTTTTTTTTTGAGCCTGGGAAGGTAGAGAGAGCCTGGGTTTGGCATTGGATTGGTTTTGCCCAAGCTCCACCAGCTCTGCCATTTAACAGCTAAGTGTCCTCGGGCAAGTTGTAAACTCTCCTTTCTGGAGGCTGGCACAGACCAAGGCTTGGTGACAATGCTTCAGATGGAAAAGGGACAGAGATCTTTTTCAACAGAAGGAGGTACTGGAGCTATACAAAGAGGCGGTCAGTCCGGGAACGGTGGACACGGATGATCTAGTCAATGTTCTGCCTGCGGATGAGACGGCATCCTCCCGGCCCCACCCAGAGGGTCACCCAGTGGCCCTGAATGAATGAATGATGATCTCAGGTCTCGGGGAGAAGCAGAGGATTTTTCAGGACTGGGAGACCATGGGAGCAAGAAAGAGAGGGAGAGAGAGAGAGAGAGAAGCTTCCAGTGGGGAAGAGTTCCCCGCAATTGGTGGGATGGAGAAAAAGGAGGAGCAAGAGAAGGGGGTGGAGGCAGAGGAAGAGGACCCAGCAAACAGACCCTAGGAATGGCAGAGCAGCAAGATAGAAGAAGCCTGGGCCCCTGACCAAGTATAGCGACCACATCAAACCACCCCCACACCTGAACGTATGTGAGTGAAAAGTAAACTGCAGCCTTGTTTTAGCCACTATTTCTTTGGGATTCTGTGTAATTCTTTTAAGATTTTATTCACTTATTTGACACAGAGAGACAGAGAGAAAAAGAACAAGCAGGGGGCGGACAGAGGGAGAGGGAGAAACAGGCTCCCCTGCTGAGCAGGGAGCCCGATATGGGGCTCGATCCCAGGACCCCGATCATGACCTGAGCCGAAGGCAGACGCTTAACCAACTGAGCCACCCAGGTGCCTCTGGGATTCTGTGTAATTTTAAAATAGGTATTCAATTCTGAAAATATTTGGAAACTAAAAGGGCATTAAGTCACCATTTTAGGGAGGATGGGACCAGAACTCTCCTTAGTCACCTCAGTGGTTCCAGGCCAGCACATACTTGGTAAGTACCCTAGGACACAGCCCTGCACAAACAGTCCTGTCCTCCGGAAGCTTATGCTCCATGTTATGTCACTTACCCTTTATATTGCCCTGTCGGGAAAATGTCGCTATCTGCACTTGTAGAGATGAGGAGGTTAAGCCCGAGGGATTTCCAGTTGCTTGAGGCCACAGAGCTGGCGAGTTTCACGGCATGCCCCAGCCACACCCTTACCAGTAATCCGGTGGTTTCCAAACTGTGCTCTGTGGCACCCTACAGTCTGTCAGAGGTGGTCATGGATGGGGGATCGTGACCATGAGGGATCAAGGGGAAGGTTTTCTCAGGAGCCCAAGAAAGGCCTGGGATTCAGGAGAGATCTGAGGAGACCTCAAGTTCACCACGGCTCTTAGCGCGAATCAAGAGTGAAGGGCCCTGGGGTGAAGAGGAGGCCTCCCAGGACAGATGGTGCCAGAGACCAGAGGCCCCTGATAGCTGTGCTCCCCTATGCTCAGGGTCCTAAGACTGACACCCCAAATCCGGGAATGGGGGAGGGGTGCCTCAAAAAGCAAATCAACCTACAGGCAAATAAAGAGTGTTGCATTTTTTAAAATATATCTGAGTGTGTGTATGAAGATTCGCATCACATACACACACATGTCAAAGACATGTAACTTGTAAAAGACATGTGACTTGTAAAAGAAATCACAACAAAATGTTAGCTGGGGGATGACATTTGGGGGACGATTTTCCAAGGTCCTTCTGTGTATTTTCTGGGTTTTCATATGTTCCTCAATGACTATTTCATAAACAAAAGATAAAAATGAAAAGGGAGAGTTGGTTTTTTGTTTTGTTTTGTTTTAAGAAACAAGTTAGGGGTTGTTCCTGTAACTGGATTATTCCACTAGATCTAATAAATTCATGTTACCAGAAATGCTTATTTGGCCATTCCAGTCTAAAAACAGAACCCTGGGCGTCCCTGCCAACATTTCCCAAGCAAGGGGAGGAGTTCTTCATTCGGATAAATAGGCATTAGCGCCCACGAAAATCCAGCACTCGGGGCAGGCGGTGGCTTTGGAATCCGCTGAGGACATCCAGCTCCAGAGGCAGGTAATCCATGATGCTGTCTATCCCAGGAGCAAAGGAACCCATTTTTCTAGGGTGGTTCTAGGCCTTGGCCTGGAGCCTGTGAGGTGACAGGGGGCCTGGCAAAGGCGTCCCAGAGCGCTGGGGACAGTTCCAGTGCTGGCCCCGAAGGCCATGCCCTCTGAAGACACGTCTTCCCTCCAGGTCTGAGTTTTCACACCTGCAAAGGGTGGACGTACCACGAGGGCCTCTTTGGCTGTTTCTGCTTCCCACACTTTGGGATTCTGAGTTTAGACAGCTGTGTACCTCCATACACCGGACCCTCCGGACCCCAACTGCCCCGAGGAGCACGGGGCACCTCCCCTTGTCTGGCACTGGGCACTGCTCTCACGGCGAGGTGCAGACGGAACTGATGAGGGGGGTTCCTCTGGGCAGAGCCCACTGGGTCTCCAAGGGGGATGGTCCCGCAGCTCCTCTCCCCTCCAGGGCCCCTGGCCAAACAGACAGGCAGGCAGTGTCTGTCCAGCAACCGAAAAGACAGGCTGCTCAGAAACAGAGCCAGCCTGCCAACTTGCCCAAAGTTCTTTTTCTCCAGAAATAATTCGGGGCGGGGGGGTGGGGTGGATGTTTAACTCTTCCAAAGAAATGATTGTATTAGCCGGAGAGTAAACAGACAGTTGAGGCAATTCATCTGCTGTGGCTGGTCTGAAGGGGTTTCCACTGGCCTCTTGGTGGAAAGCAGCTCAACTGCCCTCCCCTTCCCTGCCTCCCCTCCCCACCTTCCCTCCCCAACTCCCTTCCCCACCTCTGAAGCGGACCTTTTTTCTTCTGAACTCTGGGCCCCGAATAGGCAGGGGCTCAAGGTGAATACCCCTGTTGGCTGCAGTCGCCGGCTTTGAACTCGGCCCCTCTCTCCGATCTTTCGCAGCTCTGGCGTGGCGGGTAGTTTCAGAGAGCGGGTGGCGTATGGGAGGAGAGACGCCTCTGGAACACCCATTATGAGCCCGGCACCTTCATGGTTTCTCTCCCGTGAGCTTATTCAGCGTGTTGTACAGAGATGGGAATGGAGGCTCAGAGAGGGTCAGTCACTTGCTTGTCACCACACAGCAATGGCAAGTAGCCCGAAGGAAATCCCAGTCCAGGTCTCTGCGGCTCTGAAGCCCACACTGCTTTCTCCCTACCGGGAGTCGGGAGCCAGGCTAGCCGGTCTCCTCCCCCTGCTCCCCCAGCCGCCTGCTGTGGTGACTGTGGGCGAGCCCCTCACCGCTCTGTGCCCAGTTTCTCCCCTGGGGAAAATGGCAACAGCTGCAATACTTATCTCAAGTGTAATGTAATCATGTATGTTGGGTGCCCACGAGTGCGCCTACCCAAGAAAGTCACGAAGCTAACAGAAGCAGAGACTAGAACACAGGTCACATGGGGGCTGGCAGTGGGAGGCAGTCGGGGCACCACCTGGCCCCCCGACACTTAAAGGAGCTTTGTTTTTCAGAGTTGAGGACGGAGGGAATGTCGCCCCTCTTGGCTCTGGGGCTTCTGGTGGCTGGGCTCTGCCCCACTGTCCACTGCGTCCCAGGGGGCGTGCTTGACCCGCAGAATGTCACTCCGGAGGACCTACACAACGAGACGCCTGTGGACAACCTCGGATTAGCCTCCAGCAACACCGACTTCGCCCTCAGCCTCTATAAGCAGTTGGCTTCGAAGACGCCCAATAAGAATATCATCTTCTCCCCGCTGAGCGTCTCCATCGCCTTGGCCTTCCTATCCCTGGGGGCCCAAGGCAGCACCCTGACGGAGATCCTCGAAGGCCTCAAGTTCAACCTCACAGAGACCCCCGACGCCGAAATCCACCGGGGTTTCCAGCACCTTCTGCGAACCCTTCGCCAGCCCAGCAACGAGTTGCAGCTGAGTGTGGGCAATGCCATGTTCGTCAGCGAGCAGCTGAGGCTGCTGGAGAAGTTCACGGCAGATGCCAGGGCGCTGTACGCCGCTGAGGCCTTCTCCACCAACTTCCAGGACTCTGCTGCCGCCGAGAGGCTCATCAACAACTATGTGAAGAATCGGAGCCGGGGGAAAATTGTGGATTTGGTCAAGGACCTTGACCCGAACACAGCCATGGTCCTGGTGAATTACATCTTCCTTAAAGGTGAGTGCCTGGCTTGCGGTTTGGAAGGAATCAGAGTTTTAGTTCTGAGCCTTGGGGGCCATTTTCTGGCCTGGTGTAGCAAACCGTGTTATTGGGGAAACCACCATAGAGCAGGTGCCCTCGGTCTGGGGTGGGGGGAGGGGAGGAGGCACGGCACCGAGGCCCTGCCCTGCCTGTAGGCATTGAGAGATGAGGAGGTTAAGCCCGAGGGATTTCCAGTTGCTTGAGGCCACAGAGCTGGCGAGTTTCACGGCATGCCCCAGCCACACCCTTACCAGTA